GGGATCTGAGGGAGCTCCAGCCGCCAAATTTCGGGGTCTGGCACTGCCATTTTGGGTGGAAAACGCGAATTTTCAGCTTCCTGGGGGTAAATCTGGGGGGGCTCCAGGTTTGGATTCTGGGCGGGTTCGGGGTGGTTCCCGCCCGGGGAATTCCCGGAATTCCTGAAATCCCCCCCAAATCCCCGGGATTGCAGCAAGCCCTGGTGATCCGGGAGGGGGAGAAGATGCAGGTGAACGCTGAGGAGGTCGTGGTCGGGGACCTGGTGGAGGTCAAGGGCGGCGACCGAGTCCCGGCCGACCTGCGGATCATCTCGGCCCACGGCTGCAAGGTGGGGCCCGAAATCCCGGGAAATCACCGCGAGAATCCCGGGAAATCACCCCGAAAATCCCGGGAAATCATCCCAAAAAAATCCCGGGAAATGACCGCGAAAATCCCGGGAAATCATCCCGAAAATCCCGGGAAATCACCGCGAGAATCCCGGGAAATCATCCCAAAAAATCCCGGGAAATGATCCCAAAAAATCCCGGGAAATCACCGCGAGAATCCCGGGAAATCATCCCAAAAAATCCCGGGAAATCATCCCCAAAAAATCCCGGGAAATGATCCCAAAAAATCCCGGGAAATCATCCCCAAAAAATCCCGGGAAATCATCCCCCCAAAAAGCGGGAAATCATCCCGAGAATATCCCGGGAAATCACCGCGAAAATCCCGGGAAATCATCCCGAGAATCCCGGGAAATCATCCCCAAAAAATCCCGGGAAATCATCCCAAAAAATCCCGGGAAATGATCCCAAAAAATCCCGGGAAATGATCCCAAAAAATCCCGGGAAATGATCCAAAAAAATCCCGGGAAATCATCCCGAAAATATCCCGGGAAATCATCCCGAAAATATCCCGGGAAATCATCCCAAAAATCCCGGGAAATCATCCCGAGAATATCCCGGGAAATCACCGCGAAAATCCCGGGAAATCATCCCGAGAATCCTGGGAAATCATCCCCCAAAAAATCGAGAAATCATCCCAAAAATTCCCGGGAAATCACCTCGGGAATCGCGGGAAATCATCCCAAATATATCCCAGGAAATCATCCCCCCCTCAAAAAAAACCAAAAAAAACAAAAAAAACCAAATCCTAGGGAAAAACCATCAAAAAAAATCCCCCGGAATTTTCCCCAAAACCCCCCGGAATTTTCCCCAAAACCCCCCGGAATTTTTCCCAAAACCCCCCGGAATTTTTCCCAAAACCCCCCGGAA